AGCATGAACCACCACGCCCGGCCAGGTGATTTCATTTCTTCCCATGTGTGACACCTGAGACGTCCCATGCCCTTCTTTGGCTCAGTCTCTCTTCCTCGTACCCAGTACAAATCATAGGCCATGAACTGATGTAAAAGTTTTCAAACTGGAACATTTGCCTACTTAAACACCTAAATATTTGAAACCCCAAAGCTTTTGTCTGCTTTTCCACAGTGATATTTCTCCTTTGAGGTAATAGGTGCTACTGAATGGAAGAGAGCAAAGGCACGGGGTGTAAAGAATGCGTGTATACGTGTGTCCTATGCAGAGGGTAGTGGTGAAAGCCTGAGCAACGTCTGGTGTGACCTCATGGATTCTTGACTTCCATTCCTTTCCGGATAATGAGCCCAAGGCAGTCAGCAGCTGTCCCCTGGCAATTGTTATTAGTTCAAGAGTAAACACACCAAAGACATTAGCTAAACAGTCTAATGGGAAAGATTTCTATCTCATACCTGCCATCACCCAGTAGCTGCTGACAGCCACTGTGGAATCATGAGGACCATCCCAAGGGCAAAGTACCCCTCCAAGGAGGAGGCTGAGCAGAGCCATGGACAGGGCCTGGGTCCTTGGTGACATCATTGAGCTTCTGAATCAACCAACCTCAGAGCCTGCCCCCTACCTCTGGCTCTTTGTTATGTGAGATATTTCCTATTTATTTATTTATTTATTTATGAAACAGGATCTCATTCTGTTGCCCAGATTGGAGTGCAGTAGTAAGATCATAGCTCCCTGCAGCCTCCATCACCCAGGCTCAAGCGATCTTCCCGCTTCAGTATCTGGAGTAGCTGGGACTATAGGTGCATGCCACTAATTTTTGTATTTTTTGTATAGATAGGATTGTCCTGTGTTGTCCATACTGATCTGGAACTCCTGGGCTCAAGAGATCCTCTCACCTTGGCCTCCCAAAGTGCTGAGATTACAGGTATGAACCACCACACTCGGCCTTATTTTTCTTAGAGAGATTATCTGTTACTTGTAACAAAAAGCATTCTAATAGATTCAGTATCTCAAAATATCCAACCACGCCTGAACTCCAGACCTGTGACACCAGCTGCCTGGCATCCCTTCATCCCTTCCCCTTGGATGTTCCAAAGCATCTCATGCTCAGTGAGTCTAAAACTGACTTTGTTGTCTTGGGTTCCCACTTTCCCCATTTCACTTCAGTCTTCCCTTTTTTTTTTAGAGCTAGAGTCTCCTGATGTTGTCCAGGCTGGTATTGAACTCGGCTTCAAGCAGTCCTCTCACCTCAGCCTCTCGAGTAGCTGGGATTACAGTCGAGAGCCACTGCATCCAGCTTTGCTCTTTCTTTGAAAGGTACCATCATCTAGCTGCCTGGTTGTTCAACCAAAAACGTGGGTCATTGTTACTATTCCTTTTCCGCACACTGCCAATCAATCCTAGAAACTGCAGATTCCACCCTCCAGTATTTCTCAAACCCACCTCCGGTGACCATACCCATCATCATCTCTTGTATTTTTCACTGAAAAAGCCTCTGACCTGATCTCCCATCTCCTTCCAATTCTTTCTGCATATTTCAGCAAGAGTGATCTTCCTAAAATGCAGATCTGAATCACCCTCCTTATTAAAACTTTTAAGTTTCTTTCCCTTTTTCTTAGGATAAATTCCGGGCCGGATGTGATGGCTCACACCTGTTATCCCAACCCTTTGGGAGGCCGAGGTGGGAGGATTGCTTGAGGCCAGGAGTTTGAGACTAGCCTGGGCAACATAGCAAGACCCTGTATCTACAAAACAATTTTAAAAATTAACTGGGTGTGGTGGCATGCGCCTATAGTCCTAGTTACTGGGGAGGCTAAGGCAGGAAGATCACTTCAGCCCATGAGTTGGAAGCTGAAGTGAGTTATGATAGTGCCACTGCACTTCAGCCTAGTGTCAGAGAGAGACCCTGTCTTTAAATTAAAAAAAAAAAAAAAAAAAGAAAGAAAGAAAAGAAAAGAAAATCCAGGTACAGTGGCTTATGCCTGTAATCCCAGCGCTTTGGGAAGCCAAGGTGGGTGGATCACCTGAGGTTGGGAAAAATTAGCCGGGTGTGGTGGCACGTGCCTGTAGTCCCAGCTACTTGGGAGGCTGAGGGAGGAGAATCACTTGAACCTGGGAGGTGAGATCTCACCACTGCACTCCAGCCTGGGCAACACAGTGAGACTCTGCCTCAAACAAATACATAAATAAATATATTAATTAATTAATTAAAAAACAAAAACCTGACTGCTTTAACATGGCTTATCAAGCCCTCCATGACTGGGCCCTTATTCATCTTTCCAGCATCAATGCTGTTCCTTCCATTCTAGCCTTCGCTCCATCATTATAAAACTGCTTTTAGTTTCCCAATTCGCTGTCTTACCTCCTGGCTAATTTCTCTACCTAGAAAGTCCTTCTCTCCTTGCTTCACCTGACTAACTCCTGCTCATTCTTCAGTGCTTAGTGTGATGTTACCTCCTGTGGGAAGCCACCCCTCCTGCCTAAGCCTGGCTTAGGTGCTTATCTTCATATTAACATCACTATGTGCTTACTATCCCAGACAGCACTCCTTATGAGGTTGAAATTGTCTGCTTATGCTGCCTGTCTCCCCCATCCCAAACTGTAAATTCCTTGAGATCAGGGACTCTGGCTTATTCCTTGCACCTAGCACCATAGCTGAGTGAAGATGATCATCTTAAATTCAGATGTGAATTTTGACTTGAAGGCAAGGGTAGGATGGAATGGAGGAATGGAGCTGGAAGTTGGAAGACAGCATGGGTGTTTCTTTTTTTTCTTTTTTCTTTTTGTGGAGACAGGTTCTTACTTTATTACCCTGGCTGAAGTGCAGTGGCACTTTTCTTGGCTCACTGCAACCATGACCTGGGCTTAAGTGATCCTCCTACCTCGGCTTCCCAAATAGCTGGGACCACAGGCTCATGCCACCATGCCCAGCTAATATTTTAATTTTTGTGGAAATGGGGTCTCTCTGTGTTGCTGAGGCTGGTATCGAACTCCTGGCATCAAACCATGCTCCCACCTTGGCCACCCAAAGTGCTGGGATTACAGGCATGAGTCACCACACCTGGTGATACACCAGGAAATAGACATTTTCTAGCAGGGGCAGGGATGGTGATAGCATAATCTGATTTACTAAGGGTATTGAATAGATTTGGGCAGGTGGCAGAGCAGGCCAGGAGAAGGAAACCATTGATAATGTAGATAATGTGACCCAGGCAAGATATGGTGGTGGCCTGGACTAAGGTGTTCGTAATGGGGACGGGGAGAACCAGACAGACTTGCAAGAGAGTTAAGAAGTAGACTCCATACCAGGCACAGTGGCTCACGCCTGTAATCCCAGCATTTTGGGAGGCTGAGGTGGGAGGATCACTTGAGCCCAGGAGTTTGAGACCAGCCTGAGCAACATAGAGAGGCCCTATCTCTACAAAAAATGGAAAAATTTGCCATGAGTGGTGGCATGTTTCTGTGGTCCCAGCTACTCAAGAGGCTGAGGTGGGAGGATCACTTGAGCCCGGAAGGTCAAGGCTGCAGTGAGCTATGATTGTGCCACTGCACTCCAGCCTGGGTGGCAGAGTGAGACCGTCTCAAAAAAAAAAAAAGCCTAACATGATATCTCGTGCCTGTAATCCTAGCATTACTTTGGCCAGCTGAGGCAGGAGGATCATTTGAACCCAGGAGTTTAATACAAGCCTAGGCAACATAGCGAGATCCCAACTCATGAAGCAAATTTAAAAATCATTTTTGGCCGGGTGCAGTGGCTCATGCCTGTAATCCCAGCACTTTGGGAGGCCGAGGTGGGTGAATCACTTGAGGTCAGGGGTTCGAGACCAGCCTGACCAACATGGTGAAACCTCGTCTCTACTAAAAAGAAATACAAAATTAGCTGGGCATGGTGGTGCGCACCTGTAATCTCAGCTACTTGGGAGACTGAGGCAGGAGAATTGCTTGAACCTGGGAGGTGGAGGTTGCAGTGAGTGGAGACTGCGCCACTGCACTCCAGCCTGGGCAACAAGAGAAAAACTCCATCTCAATAAATAAATAAATAAATAATTTTTTATGTAATTTTTTTGAGACAGAGTCTTTATATTTATATTAATTTTTTTTGAGACAGAGTCTCACTCTGTTGCCCAGGCTGGAGTGCAGTGGTGCAGTCTCAGCTCATTGCAACCTCTGCCTCCTGGGTTCAATTGATTCTTCTGCCTCAGCCTCCTGAGTAGCTGGGACTACAGGCATGTGCCACTACGCCCGGCTTTTTTTTTTTTTTTTTTTTTTTTTGAGCTCTGTCACCCAGGCTGGAGTGCAGTGGTGCGATCTCAGCTCACTGCAAGCTCAGCCTCCCGGGTTCACTCCATTCTCCTGCCTCAGCCTCCCGAGTAGCTGGGACTACAGGTGCCCACCACCACGGTTGGCTATTTTTTTTTTTTTTTTTTTTTTAGTAGAAACGGGGTTTCACCGTGTTACCCAGGATGGTGTCGATCTCCTGACCTCGTGATCCACCTGCCTTGGCCTCGCAAAGTGCTGGGATTACAGGTGTGAGCCACCTTGCCTGGCCTATTAAAATTTTTTAAATAGCAAAAGAAGTAGACTTCACAGAATTGGGAGTCAGGTGAAGAAAAGGAGGGTGCATAAGTTGAGCTGAATTCTAACTTGGGCACTAGGTGTCTTAGTGGTGCCTTCTTCTGGGGTAGGGAATCCAGAGGAAGAGCATGATTGCAGAGGGAGGTGAGGAGCTCTGTTTGGGACAGATTGAGTTTGAGTGGCCTGTGAGGCACCCAGCAGGTGGCTGGGCATTCTAGGCTGCAGGTGAGGAACAAAAGCTGAGAAGGAATGGACAGAGATAGAAAACCTAGAAGGGTATATTGATGCCAAGAGAGTGACAGCCAGAAAAGAAATGACTCGAGGAAAAGGGAGAACACCGCTGAGGCTCCTCCCCTCAGGCACCCCACACACACTTCCACAGACACAAATGCACTGGAGAGTTTTCTCTTGACAGCATTTTATTTGGTTCAAACGTGAAACTCAGACCCTGGCTCACCCACTTCTCATCGTGGCTGGAGTAGATTTGTCCTGGGGGGGGGGGATCATTGGCTTCTTATCGGGACATGAAAAGGGGAGCACATAGGTCACATCAAGTGTCAGGGCAGGGAGAGGCTCAGCGACTGCTGGCCGGGTAGGGTTTGGCCATAAGCCAGGAAAGGGATGCCTGGTACCACCTTTTAGACACATGCAGTGGAAGAGGAGACAATTCAGGAGTTGTGTTAGGGTTTGGGCTTAGAGCAGGCCTAGGGCAGAGTCAAGGCTCTGGACCAAGGGGTTCAGTAACTGTGGGCAGAAGACTTGTCCAGCTCACTGCGCTGCTCCTTCTGGGACTCTGTCACCACCTGTTGGGGACAGGGCACATGATGGGCACAAGCCATTCAGCGCCACCCTCCATCCTACTCCTTTGGATCATAGAGCCCCACTCCTTGGGGTAACCAGCAGAGACTCCTGTTTATCTATCCATGTTCTCTGTCTCCTCCTCTGTCTCTCCCCAACAATTACCCACCCTAAGTAAGATTAGCGACAGCCAGGCTGGGACTCAGAAACAATATGGGAAATGGTGGGGTCCTGGGATTAGGGGCCATGCCTCACCTCCCCATTCCGGGTCTCAATGGTCTTGATCAGAACCGTCTTCCGGCTGTGGCTGTCCTGGGGAGGCTCCACCTCAGGCACTGGAGAAAGTAGGATGAAGGATTCAAGGGGTAAGGCTTGGGAATATCTCCTCTTAGGCTCCCACTGCTATATCTGAGGGCAGGGGAGGGGCGGGGTGTGAGGAGTAGGGGTGGGTATAGGCCAAGATCCAGAAATTCCGTGAGGAGAACAGATCCCTGAGATGAGTCAGAGCAGGAGCCCAAGGAGCGCAGAAGTGGACAAGGAGAGGTACAGGCTGCAAGACAGACTCACCAGTCGTCTTTATACTTAAGGAGGCAAAAGAATGGACGGGCACGGAGATCCTGGAGGCGAAGCAAGCTGTCAGAGCCCCTGCCCAGGCCCCGGCCCTCCCCGCCCTGTCCCGACCCCTCCCTGCCCCGCCCCAGCAGCCCCACCCTCACCGGCTCTCCTCGCCCTCCAGCAGCTTGCGGTAGGTGGCGATCTCGATGTCCAGGGCCATCTTGACGTTGAGGAGCTCCTGGTACTCCCGCAGGTGCCGCGCCATCTCCTCCTTTAGCTGTCGCAGCTCCTCCTCGAGCCGCGCGGCGCCCGCCTGGTAGCCCCCCGCCTCCAGGGCGAACTGCTCCTCCAGCTCTCTCAACTGCCTGAGCAGCGCCTCGTTCTGGGGTAGGGGAGTGGAAGGGGCCAGTTGCGGAACATTTCATCGTCCGCTCCCCGGGCCCGGGCGCGCAGCTTCGTACTCACCGTGCCGCGCAGCCCGTCCACCTCGCATGTCAGACTCTGGATCTGGCGTCGGGACTCGTTCATCTCCTGCTTGGCCTGGCGCAGGGCCTCGTGGTTCCGGTTGGCAGCGTCGGACAGGTCCGCGTACTGCGAAGTGGGGGTAACCCAGGCTTGAGTCGGCTGGGAAGCGCGACACCACCCCAGCGCCCCGTCTCGCAGGCCCTCCCGGCTCTCGCACCTTGGACTTGTACCACTCCTCCGCCTCCTGCAGGTTCTTCGCGGCAATGCTCTCGTACTGCGCGCGGATGTCCCTCAGCGCTGCCGTCAGCTCCGGCTTCACCGTGGCTTCCACCTCCACCTGCTGCACCTGCTGGCTCTCCACACTCACCTGCAGGTCTCGCAGCTCCTACGGCCGGGAGCAGGCAGAGGATGGACAGTGGCGCAAATCCCACGCGGGCCACGCAGTTCGTGCACAGAAAAGAGAAGAAACGCTTGAACTAACAGAAGGGGGCGCCAGGGAGGGCGGGGCGTACAGCCCTGCGACTCCGCGGGCACGAGACCAGAGGCCAGGTTTCAGAGGTACAGCCCCGCTGCCCGCCGCCAGGTGGCGCAAGGGTGGGAGTCGAACCACCTGTAGACTGGGGTGGAGGGGCTGCGTCTACCCAGCATCGTCCTGATCCCCAGGGCGATGCCTCCGCTCCGCCCGCCAGCTCCAGCAAGACCACCCCACAACCTCAGGAGCCGCCCCTGATACTGGGCCCACTTACCTCCTCGTGCAGCTTCTTGAGGAATTCAATCTCATCCATCAGAGACTCAATCTTGCGCTCTAGTTCCAGGCGGGACAGAGTGGCGTCGTCCACATCCTTCGAGGGGTGGCAGTGGAGGTTCAAGATAAGTTAGGGGCTGCGCAGGCCGAGGAAGGACCAGACCTCCCTGTCTGCCTCGGGAGGCGTCTGGGTGCCCCCTTCTCCCCGCGCCCACCGATGCCACCTCTGGATACTGAGGTCGGGGGTTGGGGTGGGGAGGCTGAACTCGGAGAGGGGCTCGGACTCACCTTGCGGAAGAGCACGAGGTTGTGCTCCGCGTCCTCCCGCTTGCGCGTTTCCTCCTCCAACCTGATGGGAAGAGCGCGCAGAGGCTGAACTGCTGGGTCGCCGCCCAGCTGGCACCCCAGACCGCGCGCCCCCCGGGATCTGGTTAGAGGCTGTTGCTGCTGCCCAGGACTCTAAATGGAGGACTGAGGCTGCCTGATAAAATTGCCCCGCTTTCTCTCTAACGGACTGGGAGCTGAAAAGGGGGTTCCGTCATTACTCAGGAGAGGCGCAGATACCCACTTCTCCCACCTCCCCAGACAGAGCAAAGTGGGAGGCAAGGGGGACTTGGAGTCCGTGGGCAAGGATGCTGCCTGCACACACCTGGGTTGGTAAGGGGAGCCACACCCTTGGGCTGCTGATGGAGAGGGGAAGCGAGGGGAGGGAAGAGCAGCCGCCTCGACGGCCGCTTCGACCTCGCCTCGACGGCCGCGGTCCAGCCCTGCCCTCTGACCTCTGCTTGAGCGCCGCCAGGTCCTCCGCCAGCCCGTCGCGCTCCACCTGCACCCGGTCACGCTCGCGGCCCAACAGCTCCAGCTCTCGCCGCAGCTCGCGCAACTCCTGCTGGCACAGCTGGTCCGCGCGCGCCGGCTCCTGGCCCCGGGCTTGGCTCAGCTCCCCGCGCAGGGCCGCGTTCTGCTGCTCCAGAAAGCGCACCTTTTCGATGAAGTTGGCGAAGCGGTCGTTGAGCTCCTGCAGCTCCTGCTTTTCGTTGCTGCGCGTGGCCAGGAACTCCTGGTTGAGGGCCTCGGCCATGGAGAAGTCGAGGCGCTCCGAGGGCAGGCGCAGGAGGGCGCCCGCTCCCGCCCGGGGGCTACGGAAGCTGCCCAGGCGCACCGAGGAGCTCGGGGACGCAGAGCCCAGCAGGCGGCTGCTGGAGAAGCGGGAGCTGGACGAGTAGGAGAAGGCCCCGGGGGATAGTGAGGGCGGTGGCCCGAAGGTGCGGCGGTATGAGGTGGAGCTGAAGCCGGCCCGAAGGCCCGACGGGTGGTGGCTCATTGCAGCCGAGGATGGGCAGTCACCGTTGGCAGAGCTAGGCCGGGGGCTGGGAAGGAGCCGCAGACCGCTGCGAGGCGGCTTTATAGCCCTGCGGTCTCAGGGGGGGCACGGGCAGCTCCTCCTACTGGCCTGATGGCCCGCTGGAGGGGGGTTGTGTGGGGAGGGGGATGCCCCACCCTTGCGGAACAGCAGGAGCGCCTTCCCCTCCCTTCCCTGGTTGCAGGCCTCTGCCCACTTGATTGCCCCCTGTTGCAGCTGGAGTGGGGGTCACTACCTCCCAACAAGCACCCAAAGCTAGAACCTAGGGTAGGAAGGCCTGATTTAAACTAGGGTCCCTGAAAATTGCAAGGTAGAAGGACCTGAAGTTAAAGGGCAGGCTTCTGGCACAGGAGTAGGGAGGAGGCCAGCTGGAAGGAGAGTTGACCTGGCTTAGGCGCCATAGCTGGTGCCTTGACTTGCCCCCTGAAGGCCAGGCTCTACTTTCACCTGCTGTCAGCTACCCCTCCTTCACCACACCCAGAGTGGAATAGGAGACAGGGGCGCAGAGGCAGATCGGGCTGGGGAAGAGCTACACTCCCTAATCCCCAGGGCCCTGTGAAGGGCTGGTGCCTGGCGCCAGTTCTGCTGCTAATGGGCTGACCAGCCCTGCTTCCCCTCCCCCTCCCCTGAACACTGCCCAGCAGAGGTTGTCTGCTGATGTTTCAGCCTTAAAGACACAGCCCCTAAACCTAGACATACTCCCCAAGAAGCCCCAATGAGGTGGGTACATCATAGGGGGCTGAGGGTGGCTGGACCCAGCTCTGGATCCCACGCAGGAGGGTCTGCCCCATGCCCCGGGTTGGGCTGAGTGGGCCTTTTGTATTCTATCTGGGTTTACTGGATTCTCCCTGCCCCCAACCCCACACCAATTGCTGCTCAGTCATGGGCTTTACGGGAACCAGAGTGATTCCTGAGGTAGGAAGGGGAGGGCGGCTGAGGGGCAACAGCTGCTGCCAAGGCTGAGAGATGGACGGACTGGCAGGAGCTGGTTTCCAGTATTGATGAGTTGCAGGTACCAGGGATGGGTGGGGCTGGATGGGGAAGAGATGGGGAAAGAGAAGGTGCCCATCCCCAGCAGTCTGAAAGAGAGAAGGCCCCAAAACAGGTCCACAAACCTGCACACACAAACGGATGCATACACACAGCCTTGTATATGTGCACACACATTACATACACACAAATACACACACAATCACACACCCAACCACACCTCCCCTACCCCAGAGTTAGCGGGAAGGCTGATATCTGGCCTTTGTGTGTCAAACAGCTTCCAGAATGCAAGCACAACCTGCCCAGGAGTGGACAGAGGCAGCTCGGATCATCTGCAGGAGCCGGGTTGCTGAGGTCTGCTGGGTTTGCCAGGAACCATAGGGCTGGGGATGCTGCTGCTGCCGGGGACTCCAGCACTCTCCTGTGAGACAGGTCTGCCTCAGATGGGACCTGAGGACAAGAGAGTGCATCTGGGGAAGCAGAGTTGAGGCTCCTGCCTGGATATCTGGCTGGGGGTGAGGAGGGTGGCTCCCTGGCTGGCCAGCTCCTCAGTATTGCAGGGCAGCGTCCCCCTCCCCCCTCTGTGTGTCCTCTGAGATGGGCCAGGGCCAACGCCCTGCTCACGTCCCTACCGCCTTCGTCTCCTCTCCAGGCCCCTCCTTCCTTCCGGGCCATTAGTCTCTCCCTGCACAGCTGCCAGTTCCTTCTCCTTGATGGGTCTGGTTTGGTTGCCAGGGGAGTGGGAAGCGGGAGGAAGGGAGAGATGGGACAGGACGGATAAATGACAGCTTGGCCTCCCCCAATTCCTGGGAATGGGGAGGGGTAGGGTCCCACCTGGGATAGGGCCAGAAGGCTTGGTGGGTGTGAGGAGGGGGCTAGGGAAGCCTTGGTGCTTCCTGCCGCAGTCCTGGGCACTGAGCCCCAGCTGCCGTTGGCCTGGAGCCCCATCTATCCCAGATTTGGCCCCACCCTCCAGGAGCAGGGAGCCAGCGCTGCACCCGGAGAGGTGGGCAAGGCCTGGGGAGGACCAGCTCAGGCCCTGTCTACAGGGCGCTTGTGGGGAACCCAAGCCTACTGAGAGTAGAGGCTGCTGGGGCTGCAGCTGGGTCTGGGGCGTTCCAGATGGAGGTTCCGTCCTCACCCTGCTTAAGCGCTCTGCTGGCCACCTACATGCCTCGGAGGAGAAGGGACAGAGGGCTGCCACAGCAGGGCTCTGGAGCTGTGGATCAGGCCTGGGTGGGGAACTGCAAGGCAGAAGAGGCTCCTCCCCTCAAGCAGAAGGAGCAGGCCAGAGACACCAGGCGGAGCAAAGGTAGGCAACGAGTCTGGCTTAAGAGCTGGGCTCTGGCATCCAGCCGCCACACTTCCCATCTGATCCACAACTCTGTGTTGTAGAATTTAGGCTCATCGCTATGTCCCTTCATGTCCCTCAAGAAAAGGGAGATAACTGTAGCTTCTACCTCATAGTGTTGTTGGGAGGACTAAAGGAATAAATAAATACATGTGAAGTGCTTAGAACACACATCTTAAAGCCTAAAAATGGAAACTGGTTTTATTATTACTATTATTATTATTAACCTCCAGAGTGATAACGTCAGCCCCAAGAGCAGTGAGGGTCTGGCCTTCTTCTGGACTGTGCCCCTGGTAGCTGAGAGCAGTGCAGGACACAAGGCAGAAGAAGCCAAGTCCTCCCTGGCCTCACCCTCCCCTGGTGGACGGGGACTCTGGGCAAACGGCGCAGGGTCAATCATGGCTGCACACCTTAATTAGCTATGTGCTTTGGGTTTTCTGAGTGACTTAACCTTTGTTCACCCCATTTCTCTTTTTCTGAGATGGAGTCTCGCTCTGTCGCCCAGGCTGGAGTGCAGTGGTGCAATCTTGGCTCACTTCAAGCTCCGCCTCCCAGCTTCATGCCATTCTCCTGCCTCAGCCTCCCGAGTAGCTGGGACTACAGGCACCCACCACCACACCCAGCTAATTTTTTTGTATTTTTAGTAGAGGCGGGGTTTCACCGTGTTAGCCAGGATGGTCTCGATCTCCTGACCTTGTGATCTGCCCATCTTGGCCTCCCAAAGTGCTGGGATTACAGGCGTGAGCCACCGCGCTGGGCCACCCCATTTTCTTTATCCACAAATGGGAATGATAATAACAATACTTACCTCATGGTGTTGGGAGGATTAAGCAAGTTACCCTCTGTAAAGCACTTAGTGCTTGGCACCTAGTACATGCTGTAGAAGTATTTGCCAGTATTCTCATCGCCCCTCCTCCTCCTGCCTCCCTTGGCTGCTCTGATGAAGACTAGAAGAGAAACAACGATTGCATGTGTTCAGGGGTTTGCAGGGAAGGTGAGTAATGAAGTTTAGGTTACTGGCAAGAGTTCTATTTTTTTATTTTATTATTATTATTATTTTGAGAGAGAGTCTTGCTCTGTCACCCAGGCTGGAGTGCAGTGGCTTGATCTCAGCCCACTGCAACCTCCGCCTCCTGGGTTCAAGCGATTCTCCTGCCTCAGTCTCCCTAGTAGTTGGGATTACAGGTGCCCGCCACCATGCCTGGCTAATTTTTGTACTTTAGTAGAGATGGGGTTGCACTATGTAGGTCAAGCTGGTCTCGAACTCCTGACCTCAAATGGTCCGCCTGCCTCGGCCTCCCAAAGTGCTGGGATTACAGGTGTGAGCCACCATGCCCAGCCAAGAGTGCTATTAAATGTCAGGCCACGGACTCAGAGCTGGATTAGGAGGGCATGTAGGCAAGAGAGGGTGGGAGATTGGGAGAGTAAAGAGATCCATGGCTGGCCAAAGAACAGTCATAGAACAAAGACATGCCGGCGGAGTGCAGTGGCTCACGCCTGTAATCCCAGTACTTTGGGAGGCGAAGGCAGGCAGATCACCTGAGGTCAGGAGTTCGAGATCAGCCTGGTCAACATGGTGAAACCCCGCCTCTACTAAAAATACAAAAAATTAGCCGGGCATGGTAGCACACACCCATAATCCCAGCTACTTGGGAGGCTGAGGTAAGAGAATCTATTGAACCTGGGAGGCAGAGGTTGCAGTGAGCCAAGATCATGCCACTTCACTCCAGCCTGGGCGACAGAGTCACTCTGTCTCAAAAAATAAAAAATAAAAAGACATGCTAAGTTCCTCCCAGCCTTACCCTCTGCTTCAGCACATCCCTAATACTTGCATCTGTCACCTGGGGTTTCCTTGCCTCTCCACGTCTAGGATTGACACAAACCTCCACGCCAGGCCAGGCGAGGTGGCTCACACCTGTAATCCCAGCACTTTGGGGGCCAAGGTGGGCAGATCGCTTGATCCTAGAAGTTCAAGACCAGTCCTGGGCAACATGGAGAAACCCCATCTCTACATAACACACAAAAATTAGCCAGGCATGGTGCCATGCACCTGTAGTCCCAGCTACTTGAAAGGCTGAGGTGGGAGGATTACCTGAGTCCAGGAGGTCAAGTATGCTGTAAACTGTGACCGAACCACTGTACTCCAGCCCCAGTGACTGAGACCCTGTCTCAAAATAAATAAATAAATAACCAAAATAAAATTTAAAAACCTAAACCTCCACTCCACATCCTGGGTGAAGTCCAGGGTCCTCTCCAGGATTCCTTTGTCTTCCCAGCTTTATTTTGTTTTTATTTATTTATTTAATTATTATTATTACTATTATTTTTTGAGACGGAGTCTCACTTTGTCACCAGGCTGGAGTACAGTGCACGATCTTGCCTCATTGCAACCTCCACCTCCTGGGTTCAAGTGAATCTCCTGCCTTAGCCTCCCAAGTAGCTGGGACTACATCCTGGGCGCGCCACCATGCCCAGCTAATTTTTGTATTTTTAGTAGAGACAGGGTTTCACCATGTTGGCCAGGATGGTCTTGATCTCCTTGGCCTCGTGATCTGCCCACCTTGGCCTCCCAAAGTGCTGGGATTACAGGTGTGAACCACAGCGCCCAGCTTATTTTATTTTTATTTTTTGAGAAGGGTCTCACTCTGTCACCCAGGTTGGAATGCAGTAGCACAATCTCAGCTCACTACAACTTCCACCGCCCAGGCTCAAATGATCTTCCTGCCTCAGTCCGTGAGTAGCTGGGATTACAGGAGTGCACCACCACGATGGCGAATTTTTGTTGTATTTTTGGTAGAGATGGGGTTTCACCATGTTGCCCAGGCTGATCTCAAACTACTGAGCTCAGGTAATCCATCTACCTCAGCCTCCCAAAGTGCTGGGATTACAAGCGTGACCCACCATACCTGGCCCCCGAGCTTTATTTTTTATTTTATTTTATTTTTTTTTTGAGACGGAGTCTTGCTCTGTAGCCCGGACTGGAGTGCAGTGGCCGGATCTCAGCTCACTGCAAGCTCCGCCTCCCGGGTTTACGCCATTCTCCTGCCTCAGCCTCCGGAGTAGCTGGGACTACAGGCGCCCGCCACCTCGCCCGGCTAGTTTTTTTTTGTATTTTTAGTAGAGACGGGGTTTCACCGTGTTAGCCAGGATGGTCTCGATCTCCTGACCTCGTGATCCGCCCGTCTCGGCCTCCCAAAGTGCTGGGATTACAGGCTTGAGCCACCGCGCCCGGCCCCGAGCTTTATTTTTAAGTCCCTAGCTCCAAGTCCTTGTTGCCCCTGAATTGCCTGAATATATAGTTGCTCTTGCGATGTCCCAGATGTGGAACTCAGCACTGTTCCTTGGTTCCTGCGGTCCTATTTCCCCATCACTTAAGTAAGAACTGGGGCTCAGAGGGACCAAGTTGCATGTCTGAGCTTGTACCGTGAGCTAGTGGTGGTTTCCTCTCTGGAAGGGCGCATCCTGGTTGATCAGGCCCTGAGTGACCCTGCTGGTGTTCTGCGCTCTGTGCCCGCAGGACCCAAGGTGAGCCTCAGCCAGAAGGGATCCAGCACCACACTTTTGAAGGTAGACTCTCCCAGCCCAGTTTGGCTGCAGGGTCCCCACTGACAGAGTGGCTTTACCAGAGTGGAACTCTTTCCCATTGTCTCCACTTGGGGCTCCACTGCTCCCAGTTAGGGAGCACCGTGGGCATCTCTGCCAAGCTCATCCCTTCTCTCACTGTATCACATAGTAATGGCCACCCTTTGCTAGGTCTAACACATTTATTTAATCACTCCTAATCCTCACAGTAACCCTATGACATAGGTACTGTTACTATTCCCACTTCATAGTTGAAGAAACTGAGGCACAGAGAGATTAAGCAACTTTCCTAAGGTCACACAGCTAGTAACTAATAATCTGTTTATATGTCTGACTCTGACTTTCTGCTCCCTGACAATATGATCTTTGAGGGCAGCGATCAGATCTTACTCATCTTTTTGTCCGTGGTGTCTGGGGTGGGACCTAGGTCAATCAAATGTGTGAGAGTCACCAGAAAAATCTGTTGGTTGGAGGCCCCTAAAATGAAGCAAGGTATGTTGCTGCCACCTTCTGGTCAGAAGTCAGAATGACGTGCTGACGTGTTCAGTCTGCATCTATGTTGAATTCAAGACTCAAGACTCCTGGAACACTGGAATTTGGGGAATACTTCAAAATTTATTGTGACTTCTTTTTTTGTTTGTTTGTTTACAGATGATATTAATCCAAGGGGGTGTAAAATGGAGTCAGAGAAGCACTGGTATTAGGAGTTTGGAGCCCTCATTCCATTCTTTCCCTGAGTTCTAGGAGCCTCTTCTATTCCAGAACCCAAAAGACAGGGCAGGAAGACAAAATCTTTCCTCAACTCTTCACCATTCTCTACGATGTCCACAATCTCCAGTTCCACCCTCACTGTAAAATCACATCTCCATCCACCTGCCTGATCTTTCAGTCAGCCACTCCTCAGCTGGAGAACGGGAAATAATGGGCTGTGCCAGCGAGCCACACTCCAAGGGCAGAGTGCTCAGTGAACCTGCTCAAAGTGTGGCCTGTGCAGCTGCCTGAGGGTTGCCCGGGCCATGAAAAGGTAGACTCCTGGGTCCCACCCAGATCTTCTGAATCTTTAGAAGGGCATTGACAAATGCCCTAGTGATTTTTAAGTATTCCTGGATTAAAGTATTTTTCTTTAAATTGTCTACCTTTTACTCTGTTTTATTTTGAAAAAATCAAACCCAGGATAAAGTTGAAAGAATGCTGCTATGAACACCAATATATCCTTCCCTTGGATTTACCAGTTGTCAATGTTTTGCCACAATTCCTCCGGAAGTATTAGACGTCATTATATTTAATCTCTGAACACTTTAGCATGTGACTCCTAAGAACAAGGACATTTTCCTACATAACCACAGTAGGATTAGCTCACTAAAGACATTTAACATTGATTTGCCTTTATTTGTGTAAAAAAAATTGTAACTAACAAAAAAGACATTTAACACTGATATAACTATTATCTAATACACAGCCTATATTCAAATTCCCTCAATTGCCCCAATAACATTCTTTATATCTATTTCCAAGCAATCTAGGATTTGAAAATCATGAATTGTATTCAGTCATCACCTGAGCAGAAGGGTAAGGCTGGGATAAGGTTGGCATGTTTGAGGAATTGCAGAAAGGTCAGTGAGGCTGGCGCAAGGCAGATGAGGGAGGAGAGTGGGAAAGGTGAGGTTAGAGGCATGGCAAGGAGTCAAATATTATGAAGCTTTTAAAATCGGAGTAATGAGTTTATTTTAAATGCAATGAAAAGCCATTGGAGGGTTTGAAACAGGGAATAACTTAATCTGATTTATGATTTTTGTTTTGTTTTGTTTTTGAGACGGAGTCTCTCTGTGTCGCCAGGTTGGAGTGCAGTGGTGCGATCTTGGCTCACTGCAACCTCTACCTCCCAGGTTCAAGTGATTCTCCTGCTTCAGCCTCCTGAGTAGCTGGAACTACAGGCACCCGCCACCACGCCTGGCTGATTTTTTGTATTTTTAGTAGAGATGGGGTTTCATCGTGTTGGCCAGAATGGTCTCGATCTCCTGACATCGTGATCTGTCCGCCTCTGCCTCCCAAAGGGCTGGAATGACAGGCATGAGCCACCTTGCCCCACCCTGATTTAGGATTTTAAAAGGTCAATCTGAAGACAATTTCAGAGTTGGGACATTCTATAAGACTTTTTAAGAGTCCTAGACTCTTTAAAAACTTAATGTCAAAGCCAGGCACGGTGTCTCACACCTATAATCCCAGCACTTTAGGAGGCCTAGGTGGGCGGATCACCTGAGGTCGGGAGTTGGAGACCAGCCTGGTCAACATGGGGAAACCCTGTCTCTACTAAAAATACAAGAAAAAAAGAAGTTAATGTCAAAATAATAATAATAAAAAGTTT